TGCTGACGATCGGTACATGCTGGCAGATCGGTACATGCTGGCAGATCGGTACATGCTGGCAGATCGGTATATGCTGGCAGATCGGTACATGCTGGCAGATCGGTACATGCTGGCAGATCGGTACATGATGGCAGATCGGTATATGCTGGCAGATCGGTACATGCTGGAAGATCGGTACATGCTGGCAGATCGGTACATGCTGGCAGATCGGTACATGCTAGCAGATCGGTATATGCTGGCAGATCGGTACATGCTGGAAGATCGGTACATGCTGGCAGATCGGTACATGCTGGCAGATCGGTATATGCTGGCAGATCGGTACATGCTGGCAGATCGGTACATGCTGGCAGATCGGTACATGCTGGCAGATCGGTACATGCTGGCAGATCGGTACATGATGGCAGATCGGTACATGCTGGCAGATCGGATCATGCTGACGATCGGTACATGCTGGCAGATCGGTACATGCTGGCAGATCGGTACATGCTGGCAGATCGGTACATGCTGGCAGATCGGATCATGCTGACGATCGGTACATGCTGGCAGATCGGTACATGATGGCAGATCGGTATATGCTGGCAGATCGGTACATGCTGACGATCGGTCCATGCTGGCAGATCGGTACATGCTGACGATCGGTCCATGCTGGCAGATCGGTACATGCTGGCAGATCGGTACATGCTGGCAGATCGGTACATGCTGGCAGATCGGTACATGATGGCAGATCGGTACATGCTGGCAGATCGGTACATGCTGGCAGATCGGTACATGCTGACGATCGGTACATGCTGGCAGATCGGTACATGCTGGCAGATCGGTATATGCTGGCAGATCGGTACATGCTGGCAGATCGGTATATGCTGGCAGATCGGTACATGCTGGCAGATCGGTACATGCTGGCAGATCGGTACATGCTGACGATCGGTACATGCTGGCAGATCGGTACATGCTGGCAGATCGGTATATGCTGGCAGATCGGCAGATCGGTACATGCTGGCAGATCGGTACATGCTGGCAGATCGGTACATGCTGGCAGATCGGTACATGCTGACGATCGGTACATGCTGGCAGATCGGTACATGCTGGCAGATCGGTACATGCTGGCAGATCGGTATATGCTGGCAGATCGGTACATGCTGACGATCGGTACATGCTGGCAGATCGGATGTCTCGCCAGGTCCAGACCCACAGCATGGACTTCATGGACTTCTACATCTATAGTCAAGGCTCCTTTGCATCATAAGGCCATTCGTCCAGTGCACTCCTACCGAACAGCGGTCTTTCTTGCATAGCACTTCCGATACATGTAACCTTCATAGCCCAGTTAAAATCCACGATTACTCTCAATAAATTCCATGTCATCTTCTGATACCGTTTTTGTAGTCTGTCACACAGACCTTGAAACAAATATATCCAACACAGCCCATGCAAATCGTTTAATGTTTGGTAAGTCTAGATTACTGCAGTATCGGACAATGAAGAGAGTCTCTGGGCTCCTTTTTATTATATTTTTATTAAGATAATTTAACAACTGTTATTTTTCATTTCAGGGACTAGATGTTAGTCTAACCGTTTTCTTCTTCTGTACGTTATACCAGTAGAAAGGTAGGTGAAGATCCTGGAAATGATGACAAGATTCAAAATGCTCATTGGGCAGTTGTAAAAATCACAAACCTACAAAAGTCACAAAATACTGTACTACTCAAACTTTGCAAAGGATCACCCCTTTACCATGTAGTTCGTCAATCTGTGTGCACCTGTTGAAATAGTGAAAGACAATATCGCGTGAAGACATGTTTATTGAACAAAAATCCGTTGTCATGTGCAACACCATGCCAACAAACAACATGTGACCAACAATCAGTCAGATCGCCCTTCAAAATGAGAGTATTTGACCAAAACTGAAACGTTAGGTGAGTGTTTTTGCTGATGTTTGAAACACCTAGCAGATGGTCACATTCATCAGCGCCGGTGTTAATTTGGTGATAACTGTAAATTGCTCGCGCACTATCACTTCAGCTGGTAACCTCTGGCAACATACTATTATTATTATAATAATAAAATGTGATTCATTTGAAGGTGCGAATGACAATGATGCTACCTGTTGTTAACCGATATGCGTTTTGTGGAATATTTATGAAAATATACTAATATGTAATATTTGAACATGTCGTTTGTTTAAAGTGCAGTAATTGGAATATATAATTTAACAAGTGTATTATCCTAAAGTGTTCCCCTGTATAGGTGGCGCCTGGTAGATCGTGTTGGGACAACACCCCTTGGTCACCTCGCCCCACAGTGGCGCCTGGTAGATCGTGTTGGGACAACACCCCTGGGTCACCTCGCCCCACAGTGGCGCCTGGCAGATCGTGTGGGGGACAACACCCCTGGGTCATCTGGCCGTACGGTGGCGTCTGGTAAATCGTGTGGGGGACAACACCCCTGGGTCACCTCGCCCCACAGTGGCGTCTGGTAGATCGTGTGGGGGACAACACCCCTGGGTCATCTCGCCCTACAGTGGCGCCTGGTAGATCGTGTGGGGGACAACACCCCTGGGTCATCTCGCCCCACAGTGGCGTCTGGTAGATCGTGTGGGGACAACACCCCTGGGTCATCTCGCCCCACAGTGGCGTCTGGTAGATCGTGTGGGGGACAACACCCCTGGGTCATCTCGCCCTACAGTTGCGCCTGGTAGATCGTGTGGGGGACAAAACTCCTGTATCATCTCGTCATACAGTGGCGCCTGGTAGATCGTGTGGGGGACAACACCCCTGGGTCATCTCGCCCTACAGTGGCGCCTGGTAGATCGTGTGGGGGACAACACCCCTGTATCATCTCGTCATACAGTGGCGCCTGGTAGATCGTGTGGGGGACAACACCTCTGGGTCATCTCGCCCCACAGTGGCGTCTGGTAGATCGTGTGGGGGACAATACCCCTGGGTCATCTCGCCCCAAATTCGGCGTCTGGTAGATCGTGTGGGGGACAACACCCCTGGGTCATCTCGCCCCACAGTGGCGCCTGGTAGATCGTGTGGGGGACAACACCCCTGGGTCATCTCGCCAAAAATTCGGCGTCTGGTAGATCGTGTGGGGGACAACACCCCTGGGTCATCTGGCCCCACAGTGCCGTCTGGTAGATCGTGTGGGGGACAACACCCCTGGGTCATCTGGCCCCACAGTGGCGTCTGGCAGATCGTGTGGGGGACAACACCCCTGGGTCATCTCGCCCGACAGTGGCGTCTTGGAGATGGTGGAGGTGTCAATACCTCTGGGTCATCTTTTTTCCAAAGTGGCGCCTGGAAGATCGTGTGGATTGTAATCTGTGGAATCTGGCGGAAGTGGAGTGAAGCAATCTTACACATAATGCTGAAAACAAGATAACATACATCATGCAGCATTGTACCGTACCGCGTGCTATATATAACAACCTCTATATACCACACGGGCACACGCAGCACAGCGTCACGTCGTGGAATCTGTAATACACAACCCCCTCAATACACTAAACAGGCACACGCAGCACAGCGTCACGTCGTAGAATCTGTAATAGACGACCACCTCAATACACCACACGAGCACACGCAGCACAGCTTCACGTCGTAGAATCTGTAATAGACGACCACCTCAATACACCACACGGGCACACGCAGCACAGCGTCACGTCGTAGAATCTGTAATAGACGACACCTCAATACACCACACGGGCACACGCAGCACAGCGTCACGTCGTAGAATCTGTAATAGACGACCACCTCAATACACTACACGGGCACACAAGGTCACCACATGGACAATACCTGGAGCAATGTTCACATCACAGGCATTATCCATACTGAGTATATATGAACTTTCAGTTTTACAGGACCTCCCCTCATCCAGTATTGCAGGACCTCCCTTCACCCAGTATTACAGGACCTCCCCTCACCCAGTATTACAGGACCTCCCCTCACCCAGTATTACAGGACCTCCCCTCGCCCAGTATTACAGGACCTCCCTTCACCAAGTATTACAGGACCTCCCCTCACCCAGTATTGCAGGACCTCCCCCACCCAGTATTACAGGACCTCCCCCACCCAGTATTACAGGACTTCCCCCACCCAGTATTACAGGACCTCCTCTCACCCAGTATTACATGACCTCCCCTCACCCAGTATTACAGGACCTCCCCTCACCCAGTATTACAGGACCTCCCTTCACCCAGTATTACAGGACTTCCCCTCACCCAGTATTACAGGACCTCCCCTCACCCAGTATTACAGGACCTCCCTTCACCCAGTATTACAGGACCTCCCCTCACCCAGTATTGCAGGAGCTCCCTTCACCCAGTATTACAGGACATCAACCAGTATTGCAGGACTTCCCCTCACCCAGTATTGCAGGACTTCCCTTCACCCAGTATTACAGGACCTCCCCTCACCCAGTATTACAGGACTTCCCTTCACCTAGTATTACAGGACCTCCCTTCACCCAGTATTACAGGACCTCCCCTCGTCCAGTATTACAGGACCTCCCCTCACCCAGTATTACAGGACCTCCTCTAACCCAGTGTTACAGGACCTCCCTTCACCCAGTATTACAGGACCTCCCCTCACCCAGTATTGCAGGAGCTCCCCTTCACCAAGTATTACAAGACCTCCCCTCACCCAGTATTACAGGACCTCCCCTCACCCAGTATTACAGGACCTCCCCCACCCAGTATTACAGGACCTCCCCTCACCAAGTAATACAGGACCTCCCCTCACCCAGTATTACAGGACCTCCCCCACCCAGTATTGCAGGAGCTCCCTTCACCCAGTATTACAGGACCTCCCCTCACCCAGAATTGCAGGACTTCCCTTCACCCAGTATTACAGGACCTCCCCTCACCCAGTATTGAATGAGCTCCCCTCACCCAGTATTACAGGACCTCCCCTCACCCAGTATTGCAGGAGCTCCCCTCACCCAGTATTACAGGACCTCCCCCACCCAGTATTGCAGGACTTCCCTTCACCCAGTATTACATGACCTCCCCTCACCCAGTATTACAGGACCTCCCCCACCCAGTATTGCAGGACTTCCCTTCATCCAGTATTACAGGACCTCCCTCCACCAAGTATTACAGGACCTCCCCCACCCAGTATTGCAGGACTTCCCTTCACCCAGTATTACAGGACCTCCCCTCACCCAGTTTTGCAGGACTTCCCTTCACCCAGTATTACAGGACCTCCCCTCACCCAGTATTGCAGGACTTCCCTTCACCCAGTATTACAGGACCTCCCCTCACCCAGTATTACAGGAGCTCCCCTCACCCAGTATTACAGGACCTCCCCTCACCCAGTATTACAGGACCTCCCCCACCCAGTAATGCACGACTTCCCTTCGACCAGTATTACAGGACCTCCCCTCACCAAGTATTACAGGACCTCCCCCACCCAGTATTGCAGGACTTCCCTTCACCCAGTATTACAGGACCTCCCCTCACCCAGTATTGCAGGACTTCCCTTCACCCAGTATAACAGGACCTCCCCTCACCCAGTATTGCAGGACTTCCCTTCACCCAGTATTACAGGACCTCCCCTCACCCAGTATTACAGGACCTCCCCCACCCAGTATTGCAGGACTTCCCTTCACCCAGTATTACAGGACCTCCCCTCACCCAGTATTACAGGACCTCCCCTCACCCAGTATTACAGGACCTCCCTTCACCCAGTATTACAGGACCTCCCCTCACCCAGTATTGCAGGAGCTCCCCTCACCCAGTATTACAGGACCTCCCTTCACCCAGTATTACAGGACCTCCCTTCACCCAGTATTACATGACCTCCCCTCACCCAGTATTACAGGACCTTCCTTCACCCAGTATTACAGGACCTCCCCTCACCCAGTATTGCAGGACCTCCCCTCACCCAGTATTACAGGACATCACCTAGTATTACAGGACATCACCCAGTATTACAGGACCTCCCCTCACCCAGTATTGCAGGACCTCCCCTCACCTAGTATTACAGGACATCACCCAGTATTACAGGACATCACCTAGTACTTCAGGACATCACCCAGTATTACAGGACATCACCTAGTATTTCAGGACATCACCCAGTATTACAGGACCTCCCCTCACCCAGTATTGCAGGACCTCCCCTCACCCAGTATTACAGGACATAACCTAGTATTTCAGGACATCACCCAGTATTACAAGACATCACCTAGTATTTCAGGACATCACCCAGTATTACAAGACATCACCTAGTATTTCAGGACATCACCCAGTATTACAGGATATCACCTAGTATTACAGGACCTTCCTTCACCCAGTATTACAAGACATCACCCAGTATTACAGGATATCACCTAGTATTACAGGACATCACCCAGTATTACAGGACATCACCTAGTATTTCAGGACATCACCTAGTTTTACAGGACCTCCCCTCACCCAGTATTGCAGGACCTCCCCTCACCCAGTATTACAGGACCTCCCCTCACCCAGTATTACAGGACCTCCCTTCACCCAGTATTACAAGACATCACCCAGTATTACAGGACATCACCTAGTATTTCAGGACATCACCCAGTATTACAGGACATCACCTAGTATTTCAGGACATCACCTAGTATTACAGGACCTCCCCTCACCCAGTATTGCAGGACCTCCCCTCACCCAGTATTACAGGACATCACCTAGTATTTCAGGACATCACCCAGTATTACAGGATATCACCTAGTATTACAGGACCTCCCTTCACCCAGTATTACAAGACATCACGTACCAGTATTACAGGATATCACCTAGTATTACAGGACATCACCCAGTATTACAGGACATCACCTAGTATTTCAGGACATCACCTAGTATTTCAGGACATCACCCAGTATTACAGGACCTCCCCTCACCCAGTATTGCAGGACCTCCCCTCACCCAGTATTACAGGACCTCCCCTCACCCAGTATTACAGGACCTCCCTTCACCCAGTATTACAAGACATCACCCAGTATTACAGGACATCACCTAGTATTACAGGACATCACCCAGTATTCCAGGATCACGTGTATATGTCCGATGGGAACTCAAATATATTTTCAGTAGTTGAATCTGGAGCTTTATCTGAATGCTGGATAGTTTATTCAGAAACAAACAGTTTATATTTACATATTTAGCAATCTTAAACAACTAGAAGCTTTTAACGTTATTATACACATTGCACGCAGGCTATTTGTGTTAATCTTCAGTTTCCGAGTTCACAATACGAAAGTGTTTTCATAACCCGCAATCTACACAAGCGGCACTTGAGTCTCTTGGTCACGTGACCAGCTTGCAGAACATGTGTGCACGACATGCTATCTGTATATGATGTACCTCGATATGACGCTACCTCAGCTCCCTGCGGCTCACACCGGAGTCAGTCTTGTCACGTACTGTCTGTCAGATGCGGTGAGGCAGTCACGGTGGTGCTGTCACGCCACCGCTACACAGCACACCCCAGTGCAGGCCGCCTCGCACTGCCGGTAGACCACATACTGCGGTCCGCTCAGGGTGCTGGCTAATTTCCCCCTTGCGTCTGGGTCATGTGACATTGCCGTAAAAGATGACTATGCTTGTCGTAACAGGTGACTAACAGGATCGGGTGGTCAGGCTCGCTGACTTGGTTGGTGCATGTCATCGTATCCAAATTGCGTGGATCGATGCTCATAATATCAATCACTGGATTGTCTGGTCCAGACTCGATTATTTACAGACCGCCGTCATGTGGCTGGAATATTGGTGAGTGCAGCGTTAAAAAACAAACAAACAAACAAATACTGGACGTGTCGGGTCATGTGACTACCAATACTGGACGTGTCGGGTCATGCGACATTACCAATACTGGACGTGTCGGGTCATGTGACTACCAATACTGGATGTGTCGGGTCATGTGGCTACCAATACTGTACGTGTTGGGTCATGTGACTACCAACACTGCAAGTGTCGGGTCATGTGACTACCAATACTGGACGTATCGGGTCATGTGACTACCAATACTGGACGTATCGGGTCATGTGACTACCAATACTGGACGTGTCGGGTCATGTGACATTACCAAAACTGGACATGTCGGGTCATGTGACTACCAATACTGCCCGTGTCGGGCCATTAGACTACCAAAGCTGGACATGTCGGGTGAATGTTACTACCAATACTGGTCGTGTCGGGTCATGTGACTACCAAAGCGGGACGTGTCGGGTCATGTGACTACCAAAGCTTGACATGTCGGGTCATGTGACTACCAAAGCTGGACATGTCGGGTCATGTGACTATCATCAATACTGTTCACAGACTACTCTGAGATAGATGACGCACCTGTATTAATTAACTTCGCCCCATTTTACAACTGCGATGACTTTAATTGATATTTAATTAAATATCGTACATGTGTACAAGGTTAGACAGTCATACGGGTGATACTGACGGCTTCAGGCAGTTTGAAGGGCTTCGTGGATATCTCCGGACATCAAACTCCATGACAGGGCGTGTGGATGTGGCTTGTTATGTGTCCACTACAGTACATATAGCATACAACGGACGTTATTGCCCTGTTATAGGTTCTACGTTGTTACGTCACACGTTAGTCGTGGTGTTGTCAGTGTCGGGAACAGTATTGATTAGTCATAAACCCGACTGAATATCACGCAGTCAAAACTACTGTGTATAGTGCTGGCAATTATCGTGTAAATTTCTCTTTAGTGTCATGCATTTCGGGCTCGAAAAAGGTCGCTACAAACCAACACCGTATCCCTGGTTACTGGAGATGGTAAAACGTTTGAATTAACACACTGACTGGTGAATGTACGTTCTGAGAGCCTATATATATCACATATATATTATCACATTTTGTCACAGAGGGCTAAACACCGACGCGTTTGGTCACATAATGTCACCAAGTGTCACAAAATGTCACAACATGTCATATATTGTTGCATATTGTAACACACATTGACACACATTTACGCATAATTCACATACTGTCTCCTAGTGTTACATGCTGTCAAATATTTGGCACACTTCCAAAATGCGTCACATACTGTCTGATATTGTTAGAAAATGTCACATTATGCCTTATATTGCTATAAAATAGCACATACTGTCTGATATTCTTACAAAATGTCACATACTGACACATATTGAAACAAAATGTCACGTGCTGTCTCATATTCTTACAAAATGTCACATACTGTCTCATATTGTTACAAAATGTCATATACTGTCTCCTATTGTTACAGAATGTCACATACTGTCTCATATTGTTACAAAATGTCACATACTGTCTCATATTGTTACAAAATGTCACAGTATGCCTCATATTGTTACAAAATGTCACATACTGTCTCCTATTGTTACAGAATGTCAAATAGTATGGCAGACTGCCAAAATGCGTCACCTACTCCTTTCACACTATAAACTACGGTCATAAAATGTCACACACTGTCTCTGTCGAGTAATATCACGCATTGTCGCATAATTCTAGACAGCCAAATAATGTCACACATCGTCACATGTGTTCACATATTGCCGAAAGCTATCAAACATTGTCACATAGTCACACACAGATGTCACATACTGTCGCATTATGTCACATGCCGTCCCATAATGCCGCCGTTCACCTTCATATATTGTCGGATGTCACATATTGTCACATATTGTTACACACTTTCACAAAATGCATATATTGTCACCTAACGCTACACACTATCTTGTAACATGTTGGCTCGTTCTCTAATGTACTGCATAACGTTAACACTATATTGTAACATGTTGGCTCGTTCCGTAATGTACTGCATAACGTTACACACTATATTGTAACATGTTGACTCATTCTGTAATGTACTGTATAACGTTACACACTATCTCGTAACATGTTGGCTCGTTCTGTAATGTACTGCATAACGTTACACACTATATTGTAACATGTTGACTCGTTCTGTAATGTACTGCATAACGTTAAACACTATATTGTAACATATTGGTCTTTCTGTAATGTACTGCATAACGTTAACACTATATTGTAACATATTGGCTCCTTCTATAATGTACTGTATAACGTTACACACTATATTGTAACATATTGGCTCCTTCTGTAATGTACTGTATAACGTTAACACTATATTGTAACATGTTGGCTCCTTCTGTAATGTGCTGCATAACGTTAACACTATATTGTAACATGTTGACTCGTTCTGTAATGTACTGCATAACGTTAAACACTATATTGTAACATATTGGTCTTTCTGTAATGTACTGCATAACGTTACACACTATATTGTAACATGTTGGCTCCTTCTGTAATGTACTGCATAACGTTAACACTATATTGTAACATGTTGACTCGTTCTGTAATGTACTGCATAACGTTAAACACTATATTGTAACATATTGGCTCCTTCTATAATGTACTGCATAACGTTAACACTATATTGTAACATGTTGACTCGTTCTGTAATGTACTGCATAACGTTAACACTACATTGTAACATGTTGACTCGTTCTGTAATGTACTGCATAACGTTAAACACTATATTGTAACATATTGGCTCCTTCTGTAATGTACTGCATAACACTACACACTCTATTGTAACATGTTGGCTCGTTCTGTAATGTACTGCATAACGTTAACACTATATTGTAACAATCATCATATAGACTGGTTCTGTTATGTACTGCATAACGCTACACACTATATTGTAACATATTGGCTCGTTCTGTAATGTACTGCATAACGCTACACACTATATTGTAACATATTGGTCTTTCTGTAATGTACTGCATAACGCTACACACTATATTGTAACATATTGGTCTTTCTGTAATGTACTGCATAACGTTACACACTATATTGTAACATATTGGTCTTTCTGTAATGTACTGTCGCATGTTACATCGTATACATACTATAAACGTATAAACGTGCTTGTAGTGTACTGTCGCATAATGTCCAACATAGTCACACATTGTGGCCAACTATCACATACTGCTGCATTCCATCACACATTGTGGAAAGATCAGTA